TCCTCCTCTCTCCGACCCTCCTCTCTCCGACCCTCCTGTGTGTACCTTTGTGTACAAACGAGTATGGTTGTATGTGGTCGATTTTGGGTTTGCGTAGTCTTACTTGTCGTTGCGCGAGTACACTCTACTTCTGTATCGCGCCGGCCTCAGCGAGCCCCCATAGACCGCGTCCACGGCAATGCCGCGATGAATGCGCATCGCCCGCGTCGCGCGCACTGCCGTCGGTCGGAGTTCTGGCCCACGCGGCGGCGCGGCGGTAGCGGGGCACGTGGATCGATCTCGACGCGCAGCGGCCGCCCGCGCTCTCGACGTCACGGGCCGCGCAGCTCCTGTCGCAGAAGCTGCGGGGCGCAGCGTCGGATCTGTCTGATGCGCTTCCCTTCCACGCGTGATGGGTCGCCCAAGTAAGCGATCGCGCAGCGGCGAGGGTGGGTCGTTTTCACCCATCCTCCGGGTGCGTTGGTGGGCGCGAAGACTTGTCCGAGCTCAAGTTCTGCGTGGATGTGCTCCTTCCCGAGGGTGTCAGACTGGAATCCTTGCTGTGGCCTGTCGGGTGCTCGCGCAGCGGGCTGAGCGAATTGCGGGCCCAGCCCGCGGTCCTCGGGGGGAAGTGGTCGAAAGATTCCGCCCGTGGTCGGATGTTTTTCCCATGCAGGGCTCTCGGTTGATCTTCTTGTCGGAATTGTTGGGCCGCGCTCGGTGCGATGTCTGGTCGCCCATGGCGCCGAAGCTGCGCTGCGCGTTTGGCGTTTTGGGCGGTCAGGCCCTCGGCGCCCTAGGCCACCCTGATCTCTGCTTCGCTGGAGAACGCGGCCTTCGGGGGGAAATTGAAGGCGCTGCAGTGAATCGTAGCGCAGCGATGCGCGGGTCGATCCCGTCGGCAAGCGTTATCCCACGTTGTGCGTCGACAAGCGGTTCCATTGCGAGCTGCTCCATGACTAGGTCGAAGCAGGTGGCGCGGGCGCCAGTGGCTAAGGGTCGTCGTCGAATCCTTGAGCCAGATGTCTGCGGTCCGCAGGTCACCGGCATCGGGCCCTCTGCCAGGGAGAGGGAGCAGTAATGAATGATGGCGTTTCGTTAATCGCAGGCGCTTCGATTCGGCGCCATGGCCAGCGGGGGGGGCAGCCCCCTCCCAGGCCAGGCGCGCGAGAGCCCCTGGTAGACGTAGCTCAACTTGAAATTGAGGTAGCGCCTGTCAGGGGACATGCCCCGAGCGAAGTGGGCCGCGCAAGCGGCTGTAAGTCCTGGGCCGCCGAACCGTGGCTAAATGGAAATCACGACGTAACGGAAGTCGAAATCGATGTTGTGGTCGGTTTCTCCGCCTGGGATACAGCCCCCGGCGCCCCGCTCGCGGGCGTGGAGATGCCGCGTATATGTCGGGAACTTTTGTTGACACTATGCGTGAGAAAGGTCGTCGTACTCACTCCGCCACTCCCGCGGGGGTCGTTGCGCGCTGTCGCTGTAATAATCACCACCGATGCGCCATGCGGGCCCCGGGGCGCATGGGGCGCGGCATCGGCGTCCGCGATTTCCCAAGTCGGCGGCGCTACCTACGCGCCGCCGTTTGCTCACTGCTTCAGACAAGGCGGCGGCCAGTATCTCGCTGAGCTCCGTGGGGTTCGTCTTGGCAGCGCCGCTGCGCCAAGCCCCGTCCTCGGTGCGCCCCAGAAGTGGTGGGTGAGCTCCATGTCCGCGGTTGCGCCAGCATCGGTCAAGTTCGGAAAAAATGCGCGCCGGTAGCCCCAGCGCCCCAATGGCAGGGAGGCTCGCCAGCCCCCGTGATATCTGTTGCAATATGCGTCGGTCGAGCCAGACACCCGCGCCCTGGGGCGTCGCAGTAGGTGCTGTATTTCTCGTGGTCGCCAGCGGCTGGGTTCTTGTCTTCTGTCGCGGGCGGCTTCGGGGCGCTCCGCGATGGCAGGGGCCCCCGCGGCGCGTGCGACGTGCAGCGCGAGGGCCGTTGTGCGTAACAGTTGGTTCCCTATGTCGATCAGGTCGTTCTCGCGGTCCTCGAGGCAATCGAAGTCCCAAGGTTGTCCTCTGCTGCGCAATGGTCGAAATTGAGGATGGGCGCCAGGTAGGTCTCGTGTTCTGGCAGCACTCCATGCCTCGCGCGGTGGTCCTGCAGCGATGGCCGTTCCCTTTCCGTGTCGCCATTGGTCTCGACTGCGGTCCACTTGGTTAGGCATCCTGCAATGGCGTGGCTTGCGATGTAGACGGTTCTGGCGAAGGTCTGCGCGGCGCTCGCCGGCGGCTGGAAGTGCGCCATCCAGTCCTGCGGCCCCCCCCTCGTCGGTGGCCACTGCAAACGAGAAGGGCGAAGCGTGCTGGTCCTCCCGTTGGTCGCTGCATATCTGTTTTGAAGGCGTCGGGGTCGATGGCTGGTAGCTCGACAGGTGGCATCTTGTCGTGGGCTGCGCGCCCGCCCTTGACACTGGTCGGCGTCGCATCTGTCCTGCAGCTCGCGATGCGAGCGTAGTCGGCCGACATGCCTGCCTTGATGTTGCTTCTTTGGGGGGGGGGGGGGGTGCGCGCATGGCCCCGCCGTTCCCCCCGGCCCTCTCGTCACTGAAGGGCGGCGCCGCTGTCATCCATGGTGCCGCGCATGATGGGTGATGGGGTCGCCTGGAGGTGCTCGACGAGTCTCGTGTCGGCGCGGCGCTGATGGCTGAATGTTAGGCATGCTGATCCACGGTATTTTCCAAGGTGGGCGTCGAATGCGGTCTTGTTGATGAAGGTGGCTTCACTCTGGTGGCGCATTAGGTTGGGCTTTGGTGACGACGGTGGCACGCTCGGCACTGGCGGCATGTCGGCGGTGTTCTGGTAGGGCCCCACTGCGTGGTGCGATCTTTCCTGATGGGTTTGTCTGCCTGTCGTTGTAGATACCGCGTGAGAGCCGTCTTGACTGTTGCTTTGACACTGTCCGGCAAATGTCGCATTTCGAAACACTCCTCGAAGGTCGGTTGTTTCGGTGGGTCGCTCGTCCGCGCGCAAGTAGTCGCAAGTCCGTTGCACGTCGCCCCCCGCCGTGCTTGCCCAGCTTGCGTCGCGGCGGAGGTCTCTTCCAGGAGACTCAATAAGACCGTGGGTCCGAGGAGTAGTAGTAGGCGCGGTAGGTAGCATGGCCTTCTCGCACGCCCGGCCGCGTCACGCAGCGCCCTGCTGGCGTCGCTCAGCGCCCTCTGGTTGGATGCTATGATGGCGCTGTTGTCGATTGCGCGGTGGGCGATGGCCCTTCTGCACCCCTTCACGCGCCCAGCGGCGATGGCCCAATTGTCAGCCTCCGAGGAGTCGTTGCACAGGTGGTCGTTGCATGCTAGTGTAGCTATCACCAGTGAGTCGTTGTCGAGCACCTTTTTGTCGGTGAGATTTTTTCGCGCTTGAAAATTTGCTTTCGTCGCGGCCTTCTGCTAACCGTCGCCGCGCTGGTCCTCTGTCGGGTCTCAGGCCCTGCGGCAGCCGTAGAAAGAATGACCGTGAAAAGGGCCGTATGGGGGCCCACCAGCTCCACAGACTGGTCGGCGAAGGCACTGGGCATGCTGGCGACGCCTTCCTTGCCCATGCGCCCCCCGGTGTTTCTCGACGCGGTGCCGAACATCAAAAGCATGATCTTGCTCTTTTTGGCGTTGAGGCGCGCGCCGCGCCCTTGGGCCCTTGACTCGACGATCTGCAGGGGCGCGGTCGCTGCGGCGATAGCGCGGCAGGGGTTCGCGGCGGCGCGCGCGGCCAGGTCGTCCACAAACGAGGCGTCGGCGAGGGGTGCGCCGCCATCGTGGCCTGGGCTTGCGCGGCGGCCCTGTGCACAAATCGGTTACTCGACGTCGTCGTGGCCTATGATATACAGTCTCACGGTGGATCACGCCCTCGGCGACGGTCTTGGTGACGCGGGCTAAAACGACGTCGAGCGAGAAGTCGGACATGGGCACTCCTGGTCGCGTGCCCGTGCCCGCGCGTGGCTGCGCGATTCGCGTCGATCCCCGCGCCGTTGCTCAAAGGTCCGCATGGGAGTCTCTCAGAAGGGCAACCACATGGTCGTCGTTTATGTCGCTGTCGATGCGCGGTCTGCCTTGTAACGCTTCTTCGAGGAATGGCTGTGTGAACTTAAATATTTCCTCGTTGTCCAATAAGTCTCGCAGCTCGACTTCGCTGGTCGGAAATTTGTAGAGAACCTCCAGACCAACTGAAGTCGGGCAAAAAATCCCCCACTGGTCCCTCTGCGCTTCGCGGTGTTAATGTATGTGAGAGCAGTGTGCGTCGCGAAATCCGTGATCCAGCTGGGTCGCGCTCCACATTGCGCGTCACGTAATTGCGTCGCGGTGATATGTTGCATTCGCTCTAAAATTACAGGCGCCGGTGCAGGGCAGCGACGTTGTTTAGTAGAGCTGTCCGCGAGCTGCTTTCTGTTGACCACGTTCTTGGCGAATGATGCCGGCCACCCTCCTCTGTGGGATAAGGGCTCGACGGTGGCCAATTGAGATTTGACGATCGATGGGCGGTATAAGCGGACCATCTCCGCACTGGCGCTTCGGCATATGTAATCAGTAATGTTGTCGGGGCCTCCTTGTCTGTTGGGCTTTGCCTGGCCGAAACTGGCCGTCAGCTCATAGTTTGTGATAATGTTGGGGGTGGGCGCATCCGCGTTGACGCGTGAGCTAATGGTTTTTTTCGCACTCTCTCGATGTAGGTGTTGGCGATGTCCCCCAGGCCGCGGATACTGGCATGATCGGCGATGGCGAAGTGGTCCAGTTCCGCTTCTGCCTGTGCTTGTTCACTTGTGATGGGCTCGCCTTTGGTGACGACGGCGTACCGATGTTCTGTGATCGTTCGTGGGGGTCGTCCCCCGCATCGTGGCAGATGCTTTACACCATCCCACTCCGCGGTTAAATTCTTTAGTCGCTTTAAGTCATTCGCGTTTTTGGTGTTGTCGGCGTACCTGTCGAGGAAGTCGCTATTCGAAACCACTTGCTTCTTGGATTCCTGTACGAGGGCGTTGATGGCCAGGTGTACCTCATCGTGCTCCGCTTGATGCGTACCGCTCGCATTCCTGTAAAGATCAGGTTGGTCAGTTTGGTTAGTCGAATCATACATTGCGTGGATTGCAGTTAGGGTAGCGATGGTTGCTTCAGCGAGCTGATCTGCCAGCTTGGCTGTGTGGATGCGGGCATGGGTATAATGTGCTGCGTCATGCCATGCTCGGTGTGGTTTCCGAGATGCGCTTCCTCTTCCACCCCCTCCCCTCCTCCTCGTCTCTCCCTGACCTCCTCCCCCGCCCCCTCTTCGAGCTCCTCCCCCTCCGCCTCCTCCCTCGTCTCGCCCTGCGCCCTCGCCTCGGGCCGAGAGGCAGCCACGTGCGCCGCGGCAAACAGCGGGGGGCTCAGAGAAACCAAGGCAGGCCCCTGCAGGGCCAGGCGCGCGCGGGCGCCCTCCTCGCGCCAGCGGGTGCCCCGGACCTCGATGCCGGACAGTGGAGAATGGAGGACGTCAGAAGAGGGACACATGCAGGAGCCTCGTCGCCATGGCTAGGTTCACCCTTACATTCTGGTCAGAACGCACCCTTGGAGATGTCCTCCTCCCCCTTCGGAGGAGGAGAAAGAGGAGAAGGAGGAGGAGGAGAAGAATAAAGGAGGAGGAGGAGGAGAAAAAAGGAGGGGAAGGGGGAGGAGGAGGAGGAGGGGAAGGAGGAGGAGAAGGAGGAGGAGGAGGAGAAGGAGGAGGAGGAGGAGGAGAAGGAGAAAGAAGGGGAGTGGCGGCATCGGCACCGAAGGACCGAGTCTTCCAACGAAATTAAGAGGAGATCATTCGTCGTCTTCGGCGTCCCGGGAGGCCCCCGCTGGGCCCCGGGGCCGTCAAAGACAGTGCGGGGCGACAGTCCGGCCCCCAGCCGGGGTCCTCGGGACTCCGCATGGACAAGATCAAGGTGAGAGGAGGAGGAGGAGGAGGAGGAGGAGGAGGAGGAGGAGGAGGAGGAGGAGAGCGGCAGGAGGAGGAGGAGGTGAAGCAGGAGGAGGAGAAGCAGGAGGAGGCGGGGGAGGAGGTGAAGCAGGAGGAGGCGGAGGAGAAGGCAGGAGGAGGAGGCAGGAGGGGGAGGAGGAGGTGGAGCTCACGGGACCCCTCCGCAATGTCAGAATCAAGACATCGGAGGTCTGGGTGCAGCCCTGGTTGGCGGCGCCAACAAGGGGGTTGAGAGAGTGGGGAGGGCTTCTTAGAAGGAGGCTGCTTCTTAGAAGGCGCCGGCCTTACATCTATAGATAAGGCCCGCGCCTTCCAAGAAGCAGGGGTGCTTCTAAGAAGCCCTGGCCCTCCCCCCACCCCCCTCTGCGCGTGGCTGACCTGGGTGGGGCGGGCCTCGAATATCAAGTGGCCCCTGCAGGGGCTGTCTGTTCGGGAGGTCGGTCATGGCCCTCGCCCCATCCTTCCTCTCCTGCCTGTCCGTCCCGCCTGCGGTTGCAGTGGAGGCCGCTCCACAAGAAACCTTCCACAGGAAAACCAACCCTGAGACCCCAGGACGTTCGTGTATACTTGGTGTGGAAACGTCAGGCCCCCCATCGCAGAACCATCGAAAACCAAGAAACCCAGGGCACCCTGAAGGTAAGCAGGGTGTTTCTTGGCATGGGTCTCCACTGTATGTCTCCTCTTATTCTTGTTCATCGCCCTCGCCATCGACATCGCCATCACAACAACCATCATCGACATCATCTCCACCACCACCACCACCACCACCACAATCACCATCGTCACCACCACCATCACCCATTACCTGTTGAAGCGTTTTTGATGGAATGAGGGACATCCTGGCGCTGCCCCCCTCCCTCCCCCCTCCTCCAGAGGCATTGGCCTCTGGGAGGGAACAAACAATACGCCTTGAAAGAAAAAAGGAGCGGCCGTGGAACGGGGAAGACTCCCAGGGGCGGCGTAATTATGCCCCCCAGCCCTCCAACATCCTGGCGGGAGGGTGGAAGAATAGACGACTAAACGGCGGGGACGACCCATGCGACTAACCCAGGAGGGCGGGGATGAAGGAAAGGAGATGGTGGCCTTGGGTTGGCAGCGAGGTGTGCGGCTCTGCACTTCGAGTGCGGCCGCGACCGCACTCGCCGAGGTGGATGGCGCAAGGGTTAGGTCGGGCATGTCCCCCTACAGGCGGATTATGGACGACAAATTAAAAATAGTCAACAAATGTCCCAAACATGGTGAAACATGGTCGAAACATCGTCCCCTGGCTAATTTTGGGCTATCTTCGAATGTTCCTCCTGTAGAGGGGCAGGCCCGATTTACCACAAAGGGCCCCTCCTCTCCCCCACAGGGCACTCCAGCTGGAGGGAGCCCAGTCCCTCCCAGCGAGCCCTCCCCTGCCGAGGCAGGCAACGAGCTCCACTGGGGAGGCTGGGGCCTATCCAGGGGAGCCTGGGGCCCATCCTTAGGTCGGGCATGCCCCCCACAGGCGGATTCTGGACGAAAAATTTGAGATAGTCAAACAACATCCCAAAATTAACACAAATGGTCGAAGAATCGTCTCCAGGCTATGATTTGACTTTTCTTGAATCCTCTTCCGTAGAGGGACAGGCCCGACTTAAGCCGATCCAGAGGAGATTGGGGCCCATCCAGAGGTTTGCGCCATCCGTGGCGGCGGCCTGGAATCGTTGCCCTCCAGCCCCACCCCCGAGCTCCTCTCTGGTACCATCGGATCCAGCCTAGATCCCGTAGTTGCTGCAAGCGGCCGCGGTGGGCAAACTTGCGTCGCGGGATTGCGAGCGGAGCCTGGGATGGCCAGACTGTCTCTGTAGGGAGTTGCTGCAACGAGTGGTGATGGGAGAAGCGGCGCAATGTGCGAGTGGCTCAGCGAGGGGCTGAACGGAGAGCGCGGCGTCGAGGCTGAAGGCGAGCGAGCTGATGAGCGCGGTTGGCGCGAGAGGTGGCGGCTGCGTGCCGCGGCCGCCCTGGTCAACGCCAGGGCGGCCGTCGGTCAGTTTGCCCATCCAACACCGCAAACCCCCAGCCCAGTTCCCCCGCCACAAGAATAGGGAAGTGACGGTTAGTGGTGCGAGCAGTGTGGACGGGGGGGGTGCAGGAAGGTGACGCCGGGAGGGAGTGAAGGTTGGTTGAAAGCCCCCACCCAGCCCCCACAAGGCCTGGTGGATCGTTAGCTCTTCGTGTTGTCGCCTTCGAGGCCCCAGCGCTGCGCTGTTGATGGAGGGCCACCACCAAGGAGGTGCTTGAGGGAACTCTGTCCGGCGGCCTCTTGGAAAAAGGTGGTCCCACCCAGTTGGCCGCATTCTGGTTGCTGGGTGAGAAAACCGTGGCCCTGTATTACCACGGACCCACTAGCATAGCGTTGGCTGTGTCGAGTGGTTGCACGCTGGCGGGCGAGAAAGCCGCAGCGGGCTCTGGGGCCCTGTATGATCGCGGACCCACTGCATCACATGGCGACCTCCGTGTCGTTGCACGAGTCGCCCTGTGGTGATGCTAACTGAGGCACGTCGGATGAGCTCTCCTGTGGGTGAGAACGCCACGGAGGGTTCTGGAGCCATGCGTTACTGTGGACCCACTGCAGCGTATGCACATCTCGATGGTGTAGCCAACGCCTTTTGCCAACTGTGAGTAGGGAGTGCCGAGAGACTGTGGCGCTAGAGTGGTAGGATCGCGTGCCATATGTAGAGACAAATCGTCCAGCTGCTGTGCTGTCGTTGACTGTGAGTGCGGCATGTTGGTGAGAGAGTAGCGCAAAGGTCAGACGTAAGGTTGGGGCCGGCTGGAGTGTCGGCAGCGGTGGACGCCTCTGAACAATATTGGTGAAGGTCGGTCGGCTCAAAACAACACTGGTGGAGGGAGCGACGCACTGACATGCCTCCGTGCGGCAGGTCCTGTCTGGGCGTGCGGGGGCGTTCGCCTCTGAGCCCACGGTTTTGGGAGGCAAGGGATG